TCTGAAGGCCGCAATTCGGACGAGGCATCTGACGACATCGTTATGTCTTGACTTGGTTGCACTTTTGGTACTGCTATAGATGCCTGGATGGTCTTCATAACCTGAGAGGCTCGTTGACTGGCTTTTACACGGCTTCGTTCGACGAAGACAGCAGGTCCGTAGCGTGCTCGCTTATTTAGGCCAGCACCCGATGGTTGCGCCGCATTGGAGGCCATCATCATCTTCCTCGATATGTGAAAGCGTCGTGGCTCGGTGCCCCTGGAGGGTTCGGCTGATTTGGTGTCCGGTATAGGGGCGACATCATCAGGGTCGACTCTCTTCTTTATTGGTGGTGTATCATCGCTCGGTCCCGAGACATGAATGACTGGCTTGGCATCACGAAGAGACGGTGATGGGCTCTCTATCGTCGGGGACCAAGGGCCGGGGTGCCTCCTTTGGTAGACCCATTTGCTGTCACTTCGATGGCGTTTTGCGCCTTCGTCAAACTCTGGATCGAGTTAGATTCTGCTATAGTAAGCGCGCAGGAGAATAAGGCGTACGTAGAAAGGTCACAGGAGACTCATCGTCACGCTTGCGCTTTACGCGGATGAGTTGAGGTGGAATCGACATATTGCTAGGTATCTGTTTCGAGTGATTCGACGAGATGAAATGCGAAGCAAGGAAAAAAGCAAGTCCGCCGCTGATGATGCAGTCTAGATGTACAACCGATGGAGCAGAAGAGATAAGCTTGAGTGGTTCTTAGGTACGCGACTGAAACTACGATGGTTTAAGAGAAGGGTTCTTTGAATTGCGCCGGTTGCGTGAGTAGGTACGCATGCGAGGTTGTGTTCGCCGTGAACGATGAGGTCAGAAGCTGGCAACGGTATTTTCCATTCTCAATTTTTCATCCACTTGCTGTAAGGTACTTAAGGTAGGTAGGTTAAAGGTGGGGCTACTCAGTGGGAAGAGCCGCACCGTCGAAAGCCAATTCAAGAGCACCAGCCAATTTCATTTTAGAGACGAGACGGGGAATGTGATATGATGTCGTCTCTACCTACCTCATCACCAATTGTACTACCTAGGCATTGATGTACTCGTTCCTGGTTTCAATATCTTTATGCATTTCTCAGCTCAAGTCGGTTCACTTCACTTCAGTTAATGGGTGAAGCTCAACCACCAACCACCGATCCCCACCGATTGGATGCCAGGATATCTCTAATGCAGACAGTAAAACCAGGGTGGTCCCACTTCTCAGGAGGCTCTTTCGGCGGTGCAAGGTTGAGCTGGGTAGTGGGGTTAGCGGACTAAGGATCTCCTGATACTCTTCTACTCGGGCAGGTAACCAAGCAGCACTCGAATATCTTCCGAGCTGGAGGCCCAGACCAGCTTGATGGTTTCAAGCCCTGAACGCCAATAACTTGGGTTGTCTACAGCAGGGAAAGACAGCTGGAGCATGCCCAATATTTGATCCCAACCAAGCGAGAGGACGCAGAGACATGCTCATAACGCGCTTCGACACCTTGAAAACGGTTGGAATGCGGGGGCGCACGGTTCACCGTAGTTCTACCCATAAGTGCGTAAGGTAAGTACCCAGTCATGTTATGCCCCTAGTCTCACAAGTGCTGGGCCATCGTATTCATAACCCACGGGTAGTTGCTGATTTCTTCCCTGCTCCCGTAGATTGACGTGCATGAACTCAAAGGGATCTTTGTGCTGGGGATATAGCGGGAACGGGTCAAAATGGATCGAGAGATCAACTGCGATATTACCAATTGCCAAGGAGCGCATAGATCGGCGGCTATAAAACAAGGCACCGAAGCTAATTGGTAAACTCCAAGGCAAGTCAAGACCTGTCCGCCGTCACTGCAGATCGTGATCAACCCCGGATTACGGCGTAGTAGCCTTCAACACGAAGATTGGTACTGAGTTGGGCCTGGGATTGTCTATAGATTGCTAACACCTTTTAGGTATGGTAGGTCATGCAAGAGTTCCTCATATACATGGATGTGATCTAGTCACTTCTTCGATCACGAATTACAGTTCTCTGCCCGCTCTCTCTAGTCCATTGAGCTCAATGACGTCTATCCAGCACTTCCATGTTCTAGGGGGTATGCACCTAATAAGAATCCTTGGCGTAGGTAGGTACTGCTGAAATACCTTAACTAAAAGTGACTTGAGAAAGTCAATGCAAACTCACGTGTTTAGGCCCCAACGGCAGACTCCAACGTCTTATTCCGTTATTCTCCCTTGTCTTCTTGTCCTTGAGATTCGTCCTCGACTGTCAATTGTTAGGTGCCTTGCTCCTCGCAAAGACCAAAGGCATCGACCGGCTGCAAGACTCAAGCTCCAGCTCCAGCTCCAGGTTGGTGTTGCATTGACCTTCAGCTGTCGTCATCCCGCCTCCTCCCTCCGTTCTCCTCCTCACCCATATCTTCACCCAACTTCCATCATTAGCCTTTCTCACTTTCTTTCTTTCGTCATTCTACACCTCCCCTTTACCTAGTTTTCCCTCAATTTCTTTACGTGTCGCGCTTTTTCGACCTGTTGTCAATGCGTTGTGATCCTGTTATATTGATCTCTGGATCATCACCCTGTGTCGATAGAGGTACGGACATCCATCCATCCATCCATCCATCCATCCATCCATCCCTGTCTGTCGTTCGATTCTCGCGCGCTCCGAAATCAGAGCATCGATGCCAACTCAGTAACCTTTTTTTTTTTTTAGAAACCTGCGATCTCCTTTAATCACGCCTTTGCCTCATCATTTAACTGTTCATTCGCGTATACATTTTGACCACGCTTCTGTCTCGGCTCCGAGTTACTTACTGTATCAGTCTATTTTCGGCTCAACCCACCCACCATGTCCTCCAAAATGCCATGTACAATTGCCTACAAGAAGCCTGGTGCCTCACCTCCTGTCTTTCTTGCAGGCTCCTTCACTGATCCACAATGGCAACTTCAAGAGATGGAATACACTACTGACCAAAACGGAGACCATGTTTTTCAGTCCGAGGTTATGCTGGAACCTGATCAGGATTACCAGTTCAAGCTCCGCATAGGTCATGACAATTGGACTCTAGCTGAGAACTATCCTACTGGTGAGTTCAGAGCCGTTCCCTACCTCGAGTTGCTTCCTGATATTTTGTCACAAAGCAACCGATGATTCCGGAAATCAGAACAATGTTATACGTGCACCTGAAAAGCCAGCTGAAGAGCAGATCGCACCAGCGGGCGTCGATACGCCAGCGATCAGTTTGAACCCTGCCAGTCAGCTCCCCTCGACATCTACAGAAGCAGAATCCGTCGGCGAGAATGCGGAAGATTTCAAGGTTCCATTGTTTGCCCACGAGTCGCCAGGTAAAGATGATGAAAAAGAAACCCATAACAACGAGATACCATTGTTGGCGCATGAGACTCTGGGCGATGAGTCCAAGGAGGAAGCCGAAGTAGAGGCCTTCAAGGCACCTCTTCTGGCGCACGAAACGCTCGCAAACGATGCGAAGGAGGACTCCGAGGAAATGAAAATGCCACTGTTTGCACACGAGTGTCTTGGTGCTTATGATTTTGGAGAAGAGTCAGACTCAGCTCCGATTGCAGTCAATAGCCCAGGTCAAAGTTCAAGAGCCAAATCGAAGCATAGCGAATCTTCCGACATTGACGTCAACGACCCTACACTCGAGACCTTCCCTTCCGATCGCGGCTCCATCCTTGATGCCATTCGGACCATTCAGACTCACCTTGGAGAAGACCAGACTCATCTCGAGGACATTCCTCTGTCACCTCGTGTAATCTCATCTAGAAGGACTAGTCTGGACTCTAACGATGACTTGTGTCTGTCACCCGCGTCTTTGAGTCCTACCGTCACTAGGAGACGAGACAGCAGACCTTCTTATAGTTTCGGGCGAACTCGTTCCTTAGTATCTCTAGGCTCGATCGAAGAGGAGCCCAAGCCTGCTTCAAGCAAGCAATCAGCAGGCCCTGCCGTTGTATCTCTACCGAACCCCAACTCCAAGAGCAAGCCGGTCGGGCAGAAGTCACCCCCTAGTGAGGAAGACGAAGCCGTCGTAATGAAGACCCCAGAGGTAAACCCCAGTACAAAGACCAATGGCGAGTCAGCATCTCAAGTTGAAAGTTATGAGGCCCAGAATACTCTACACGACAAGGCCTCCAGCGCCACCACGGCTGCAGATACCCCAGCGGTTGCAATCTCCCAAGCGGTCGACAGCCCATCCAGCGATACGCCATCGATCGGTAAATCTGTGCAGAATGAATCGTCCAGAATCCCCGAGTCCGAAGCAGTTCAATCCTCAAAAGAGTCACAACCAACAGCAGATCCAATTATTGGCAAAGACATCAAGAAAACGGCGGCTTCAGGGGATCCTTCTCGAGCACCGCCGCGTGGCAGTGTTGTGCCTTTGTGAGTACCTACTTGACATGTCGAAGAGAATGCTTCTTAACAAGGATGCTTCAGAATCGTTACAACGGGAGCCCTCGCTGTCGCCATTGGGATAGGGTGGTGGCAGGCGGCCGACCACTAAGAGCAGTAACCTTCTAACGTTGATTCAGGCTTTGGACTGGATTGGGTAGTTTTCATAATAACGGATAGGAAGGACATCGACGATGCAGGGATAAACAGCGACTGTACGTGTACGAACCGAGGAGGATAGATAACAAAACAGGGCCGTGAGCAATGGAAAGTAGAAACCTATACGAGTCCTAGGAGCCACTAGGAAGCATGTTTATTTTGTTGATGCGAATAATAAACCGACGAGTACGATTTATCACGTACTGTTATTAAACCTTGGTCTTCATATTGTATCCGTAACATGAGGTGAGATAACTCCATCATACCTGGACCTTTCAGGGAGCATGTGGGGTAGATATGGTGTCTGCGTCGGTGAAAAAGACTCCGAGGCCCGACTTCAGTTTAAAAAAAAAAACTCCACCATTGATCAGTATCATATTATCACCAAGAATATTTCTGCAACACAGTTGTTTTCATCGCATGAAGCCCGACAATTATGCAGCGCATAGCAACGAGATCCGTTTGCTCGGTTTGTATTCGTTCATCTCGGCCGACTACAGTTGCACGTTCATCCCTACAAACATGCATTAGTCAACGCCTGGTTTCGCAGCATTTCAAACCTCGCCCCTCGCGCATGGTTCTCTCAGATCGAGTTGATCGACCACCTCCGTCTCGCGATGACCGGCGCCAACGGCGTGAAACCCCAGGTCCTTTTGGAGGCATGAACAAGAAATATGCCAATATTGATTCTACCCGGAGAGTCGGTCCGCATCGTGCGATGGGAGGAAGAGATGGCAATGGAGGAAAGACAAGAGAGAGGGAAAACAGGAGAGGAGGGCCAAGAGACGGAGACGACCGAAAAGCGCTCAAGATGCAGAGAGCCCTGGCTACAGTCTCGTACGGAAAGCGAACAGTAATGAAAGAAAGCATGACTGACTACGAAACGTTCGACAACTTTGATCTCATCCCCGCCCTTCAAGTGGCCGTCAACGAAGAGCTCTTTAAGGGCATGACAGATATCAAGCCAACCCCTGTGCAGCGACTAGCAATACCAGCTTTGCTGGGACAAAGAAGTCCAGACGACTTGAAAAGACCAACAGAAGAGATGAGGTCATTCTTATTAGCGGCAGAGACTGGCTCCGGGAAGACTTTGGCCTATCTGTTGCCGGCTATCGATGCTCTCAAGACTGCCGAAGCAGAGGATCCTGAGCTAAAGGCCTACCGTGAACGATGGGAACTCGAGAAGCAACGACAACTGGAAGCCCATTCCAAGGGCAAGCCATTTGACGAGCCGCATCCTACCATGGCTCGCCCCAAGGTTGTCGTCCTTGTGCCCACAGCGGAGCTTGCGCACCAGGTCACAAAAGTATCCAAAGCTCTGTCACACGTGGCCAAGTTCAAGACAGAACTCCTCTCTTCAGATTTGAAACCCCAGCAGATCCAGCGTAACCTCTACGGACCTAGGGGAGTTGATGTTATCGTCTCAACGCCTCATCTTCTCGCATCGATTGCCGATTCAGATCCCAATATCCTCTCCCGCGTATCTCATCTAATCGTCGACGAGGCGGACTCTCTTTTCGACCGAAGTTTTGCTCCAGTCACCACCAGTATTGTCGAACGAGCGCTACCCTCCATGAAACAGTTTGTCTGCTGTTCAGCCACGATTCCCCGCAAGCTCAACAACTTCCTCGCCACCAACTACCCCAAGATGGTCCGAATCACCACACCCAACCTCCACGCCATCCCTCGACGTGTCCAGTTAGGCGTCGTTGACGTTTCCAGAGAACCGTACCGCAACAGGAAGGATCTCGCCTGTGCCGATGCTATCTACTCCATCGGCCGCGAGTCTGCCAGTCACGAAGGACCAGTAAAGGGCGAAGTTGATGTTCGCCGCATAATGGTTTTCGTCAACGAGCGGGAAAAGACCGAGGAACTGGCGAACTACCTCAGAGAGAAGGGAATCAATGCCGAGGCTCTCCACAGAGATACACCTGAGAAGCGCCACGGCGAAGTTCTGGAGACTTTTACTTCTCCGGCGCCTCTTAGAATCCCAACCCCGTCAATTGCCTCCAAGGCTCGATCACTGGCCAACGTGAGAGTCCTGGTCGTTACAGACTTGGCCTCAAGGGGTATTGACACCCTCGCAGTCCGTCATGTGATTCTATATGATGTCCCCCACACAACCATTGACTTTATCCACCGACTTGGTCGTGCCGGACGAATGGGTCGACGTGGTCGTGGCATTGTGCTTGTTGGTAACGACGATAGAAAGGATGTTGTCGCAGAGGTCAAGAACAGTATGTTTAGAGGACAGGCCCTGATTTAAAAAATCGCTATACTGCTGTCATTTTATGCATCATGTACAATGAATGGAGTAATTGGATGAATATGTAAGAATACGATATTACTGGGTTGGACTGAGTGTATCTGCATTGATGGGTAAAAGATTCTTATGAATATCTCCATAGAGGAAATGTACAATATCTAAGCATTTTATGATTTATATGCATACCTATCTAATAAGATTCACCAAAACCTCAAATTTGTCGTATATGGTCTGAATAATGGCGTTCAAATTAAGAAGTAGGCGGCTCTGACTGCTAACCTAACTATGCTGATCGTCAAGCTTCTGTGGGTCAAAGCGCTTGGTGTTTGGTGGGCCATCGAACCTCGATCAGGCCGCAAGGCACCTAGTACCTAAGGTACTAACTCAATCCCGCTACCTTTAGGTACTAACCTAGGTACCTTCTAGGTTAGTAGGTTAGTGGGTACGTACCTTCAATGTCGCGTCGCGTTTCTTTGGCGTGTTTCTCTCCCCCATTCGCACAATACCATCATCATCATAGGTTAATCGCATATTCTCATCCCACCCAAAACCCACCCCCCGGACTTTGTCTCGAGAAGCTCTTCTCCAAAGTCGCAAAGAATATCTCGATTACCACTTCTATAAACTACTTCCTTGCGACACATATTCCAGATCTGTTACCTCAATGCCTCGAGCTAAACGTGCGCGTCGTGCACCCGCACAATCTGCCAAGTCTCATGCACGATCACCTTCACCCGATGCAAGTGACAACCAAGTTCCCCGACCGACTCAGTCTCCCGAGAGAGGCCGTAGGCGGACGACGCGATCTTCAGGTGCTTATTCAAGTGCCGTCAACGAGCAAGATGTTCTCGCGGCGAATCGGCGTCGCGACGCAGCGCTAGACAAGCTAGCCAACGAGGATCCTACTTCCATAGCCAGTAAGAGTGTTGAGGATGGAGATTCTGGAAGCTCAATTGAAGGTGGACGACGAGTGACAGCTACACCGACTCGAAGAAGGGATACGACTGGACTAGATTTAGCGGATAGCGTGTTTGGCGATCTTGACGATAGTTTTGGGCTCGAGGACGACGATACCCGACCAGGATTGCGCTCAGCTGATGCATCCTCTCTCAACTTGAGCAACTTCAGGCGCAGACCACGCCAATCTAGCATTATTGGGCGCAACGACCCTCCCATTAGGCCCAGTAGCCGCGGCGGCAATACACCCAGTATCAGCTCGACACTTCACTTTGGTGCCTTCAAGCGGCGCGCACGAGAGCCGAGCATTTTGGGAACTGCACGAAAGCCTCGACCGGAAGAAAATGCCGCGGGGCAGGAACCGGATTCAGCGAGCGAGGACGAGGATGAGGACGATTTTGTGCCTGAAGCTGAGTCGACACCTCTCAACAACCGGCGGCGGACAAAGCCCGAGACCGAACTGGAGATCGAGGTGCCTGCCTCCCCGGAAGTCTCTGCAGGACCGAAGCACAGGAAAAGAAAGAGTGAAGATGCTTTACCAAGTAGTGGTAGGCCTGATAAGATATCGCGAATTGAGAGAGACGCGGGTGAGGAATCAGAGGAAGAAGCTGGACCTGCACCCCGGGTAATTTCTGATGATGCAAGCGATTCTTCACTGTCAGATCTCGATTCTCCCCTAGGACCATCTCCGGTACTTCTGGACAGGCCTGTTACTCCCATCAATAACGAGGAGCTCATGGCCCTACCTGCAAGTAGTGATTCAGAGGACGTGAACTGGCCTGATATTCATACCTTGGCTAAGCGGCGCCGAAGGCCTTCTGCCACAACACCTATTCGCGCCGTTAACTTTTCAGATGTCTCTTCACCTCCTTCTCTGACACACTCTCCCAATTATGCAGAGGCATCGAAGTCTCGGGGTCGGGCTACAACTCGACGTCAGCAACCATCACCAAAGATAACAACTGCCGACTTGACGAGTCTACTTCCGAAGCGCCATTACAAGAAGCAGCGGGACCCACTAGGACTGGAAAGCGACGAGGAGCATGACACATCCGGTATCGGGGAGGACGAGGATGAGCTATCGTATCTTGACGGTCGGGCTGCGCGCCGAAGACGAGGCGGACGATCGACCAGCCGCGGAGGCGCAAGGCGGCCAGGATCACGAGGCGGGCGCCCAACGCAGGCTCTTAAGCCCAGACAGCCAACCTCTGACAGGCAAACGGGTCGCAATGCACAGACTTACTCGCGTCGGTCATCGGACAAGGAGAATGAAAATGATGCTGGCAGCGATGAAGACGAGGATGAGCACGAAGCCAGTCGTTTCCAGCCACTCCCAGACGATACTTTTGAGAACGGAAGTGGCGAGAATGCAAGCACTCCATCAGCTGATGAGCTGAAGCAAGCAGCAAGGAAGTTCAAAGAGGTTGACCGGTGGGAACTTGACTTTGAGGAGGTTACGCAGAGTTCGTCTCCACTTGCACGATGAAGCACAAACGGAGCAAAGCAAAGCACAAAGAATGAGATGAGGGCGCTAAGTAATATGCAAGGAAAAGGGCCAGGGCGTTTAGCGGGTTGGAGCAACTGTTTTCGAGAAAAACCAAGGGAGTTACATGAAGGGAGTATGCCAGGCCAGGGTATTTTATGAAGGTTTCTGAATGATGTCTGTTTCGGGCTCATACTTGCATTGTACATTGGGGAGGGCAAGAATCGATCCCGTCTCATAGTTGGGTCAAAACGTGAAGTCTACGGCGCGTGTCCAAAGAGGACTCTGATGGCTTATTGTAATCAGACAACTAAATCATTGATTTGCGATTTTCATCCCGCCTTACACATTGAGCAATGTGTGATATATATCAACTCCAGAAACGCCGTTACTTGGTGTTCATCTTTTCCTGTCCTGATTTGTTCTCATGTACTTGGGTTGAGAGCTTCTGCCCGATGCTCTACAAGCGGCAGTAGTGGAGCTAGGACGTTGGGATCTCTCAGTGCGATTGTAATGTCGTCTGGCAGTCTCCCAGACATGAGAAGTTTCTGCAGCGCCAAAGTCAGCATTGCATCATGGAAGACTGGGGTCAAAAACATTTTCACAAATCCACACTCACCCTCTTGACGTTCTCGTAGGTCTCTTCTTGCGCCGAGTATTCGCGAATAACCTCATCAGTCTCAAAATCGACATAGACCCTGGTGTCACGTATCCGCAGGACAACATTGTCCAGGCGCATAAACAACCGACACAGCAAAAGCATGCGCTTCTCGTGCACGCGGACTTTGGCGCTGAAGATGGATATGCCGTTGTCGTCCAGCTCACTCTCGTAGAGCATAACTTCGTCAAAGAACAAGATGGGGTCTCGACGCTTCAGGAGCTCAATGGGTATCACCTTGTCGGTAGGCGCAAACTGCAAAGCCGAGGCTTCGATGCTACCAGTATATGTCGTCGAGTAGCTCCAGTCATAGGGCTTCACAACTTCCTTTATACCCTGTGTGGTGCCTTCTCGGGTACTCTCCCAGTCTCGGGCATATGCAACCTTGAGCATGTGGCGATCTGTCTTGTCGACGGCGTCAAGCGCATCTGGAGTGTTGAAATACAGGGACCAGCCGGAAGGCACATGTTCAATTCCGACGACATTTTCGCCAAATATCATCTCCGGCATCGGAATGCCAATCTTTTCGGTGAGTGCATCGATGGTACCGGCTTTGGAGATGGGTAGCTTGCGGGTCGAGATGCGGAATCTGCTTTGCGCGTGTGTCGTTGTGGCGGAGGCGAGAGCCTGTGGCTTAGGGAACGGTTCGTTCGCATCTGAGATATGGTTACGCTGCATTTTCTTTTGGTTGTGAGTCTTGATGTTTTCAATATAGAAAAGACGAAAGTGAAGATGTCGGAATCAAGAGCTGGAGCAGCTGAGTTACGGATTGGAAGCTATTATGTGTTATTCAATGGCGGGGTGGGTGGGGTAGTTAGGAGCTAGGACAAGCTACTTACACTGGGCCTCACCTAGGTACCTCTACGATGGATGCACCAGGTGCCTGAAGCTTGGTACTCGAGGTTCAGATACCACAGAGTACCTTAGAGTCCAATTGATCAAATCAATAAGATCTTGGTTATTCTTCCAGCTCCGGGCATACTTGTTTGTTTTGTTCATCTTGAAGTTCTGTACCCTAAGCATCTATTTTCTTTCCTCTGTATATGTTGTCAACACTTTTACAGGCGCCTTGACAAGTTATAGTCTATAGTAAGTACAGGTTAACTAAGTTAGTAGCTAAATTGGATTCTCCTACACTCTGAGCTGCACTTCGCTTTATCAATCAGATATCCAATACCAATACCATTGGAGTTTGGCCACTAGCTGACCAATCACGTTAGCAGCCTTGACTCCCAACCCTATCCCTACCTCCCTACAGAGTAATATGTTCAGTGAATCCACTCTTTGGAGACATTCAGACAGTTCTCTACGTTGAACATCTGGAGTCTTGTCAGTATATTCAAGTCTCGAGTAGACACATAATTTCCCATAATCGAGTCTTCCGTGATACGCTGGGCGGCAGGTATGAGAGTTTCTCATGATACTTCGTCATTTTCAACTGACACTGATAAAGGATATCCAAATCCTACTGCCACCACTGCCTTGGTCACGATTTACAATGGGAAGAACTGACCTATCAAGTAGCACACGTAAACATCTGAAGTATAACTGCCTTAAAGTTGGCGAAGAACATTGCAAATCTTGCATGTTAAGGTATCTGGATGAGCACGCGTCTCAGGCGGGCATAGATGATCTAACGGACCCAACGACAAAAGTCAAAGATGTGTCTAAAAGACCAGACAACACTGATATGGGCACATCTACCAGCCTGCCACACAATGCCATTACTGAAGACCGGATACGACATGTAAAGCATCAATGTCTACGAAACTTTATGAGGTATTCTCAACCTATCCACCTTACCTCATCATGGGTCTAGTGTTTGAGCAGCCCTCGAAACATGGATACGATGAGCTTCAGAAGGGTTACCTCGCTTGGCGAATGACCTGGCACATATTCAAAGTCAATGCAAATCCTAGGTCTCTTGAAGGCACAAAGCCTATCTTGAGAAATATTGCTTTCGGGAGCTTACCACAGCTGAATATGTGGGGAGACATTATAAACGATTATACCCTCTCATGTCATGGACATTTGACCCAAGAGGATCTCATGAACCTCTATAACCTTGAGGACCAGGCCATTAAGTACTTGATATCTCACCGTCTCGATTGGAGCAAGGAGATCGACGCTATACAAGATTTTGCTGGTCTGAAACTGTCTGTCCTTGGTCAAAAATCCATCTCGGAATTAAGAGACATCATACTGTCAACGCTGACCTCATGGGCTTGGTCACGGCTGAACTCGAGCCCACAGAAGCTCCCAAGATTTGGATAGAGATGAATCGAAGAACACTGTATTACTGTGCTAAACAGAATTTCAAGACGCTTAGGCAAGTCCTTTGCGACAAGTATCGGCTAGACACTAAACAACCTTTAGCCGGGAGACTATGAGACATATTGGTTGGTGAGTATCTGTTTGGGTGCTAAGTTGTATGGAAACAGCAAGTCTTCTTTTTTCTTCTTCTAATTTTTTGCTTCTTCTTTGGCTCGAACCGCTAAATGGGTACCTAACCAGGCGTCATAAATCTCTTTTTACAATGATAAATCGTTCCGGGGACTCAGCTGACGTTAAGTCTGAGAAACGCCATCCGAAGAGTAAACACATTTAAAGGGCTATAATTAGATCTGTGGGCTTCACTGTCAGCCTTGATACTACTATTCTGGTGTATATGTTTTACCTGTTTATGATATAAATCGTCCCAGACCTGGTTTATCTGAGCGAGTAATTGAACGTTATAAGTTGCTTTTTGTGAATAGGACCACCTGAATTTCTCTACATCCATCTTAAGAGAAACTAACACAATACTAACTACTAGGCTGCTACTAAAGATACGGACTCTCCATGTATGCTAATGCATTATTTTCTATTGCTGTTTGAATAACGCTGCGATGAAATTTAGGTATCTTCATTAGCCATTTTCTAAGGTATCCTACCTACTTCCTACCTAGTAGGTAGGTAGTTGAGGGTCCCCACCTACCCATTTAAACCTCCGCTCCACCTTCAGCCGCCGACTGATAAGAATCCTTATCAGTTCCGCTCCATCAACTTTTTTTCCTTTGCGAAGCCAAGTCATCCCGCCATTGAACAACATCACCAACACCATCAATCACCAGTTCCTAACGATACAATGCGCCCTCTCACAGAAAAGGAGACCCAGACTCTGTTCGAGAAACTGGCGAATTACACCGGTGGCTCCCTCAAGAACCTGATCGCACCCCTCGACGACTCCCCCAACCCTGATCGCTATGTCTTCCGCCTAGTTCGCGATCGTGTCTTTTACGTTCGTCTCTCGATCGCCAACCTGGCGACCTCTATTGCTCGTGATAAGCTTCTCTCTCTAGGAACCTGTCTTGGTATGTCTCTCCCTTGATAAATGCCATAATGTTCTCTAGCTAACCTTCAAATTTCACAGGCAAGTTCACAAAGTCTGGCAAGTTTCGCCTGCACATCACAGCCCTTCCCATCATTTCCGAGCACGCCCGCTACAAGATTTGGGTCAAGGAGAACGGAACTATGCCCTTCCTATACGGCAGCAACATCGTCAAGGCGCATGTCGGTCGCTGGTCAGAGGACTGCCCCGAACACCAGGGAGTTGTTGTCTACAGCATGAACGATACACCGCTCGGATTTGGTGTCACTGCCCGCAGCACTGCCGAGGCCCGAAGATTGGATCCTACCGGTGTCACTTGTTTCAGACAGGCCGACTGTGGAGAGTACCTCCGTGACGAAGACAACTTGTTTGCGACGGGGTAGAGGGCAGTATGGTTTGCTTCGTCAGGCGTTGGGGCTATTTTAATCATTCATTCTTTGGCGTTGAGAGTGAGGGGGGAAAAGAAACTTGTGGCCAAGTCAATCATGCTTGGGTTATTTGGTAGATTGGTAGATATCATCGTCGTCATCAAAGCGCTGTATATGTTGAAATGTATTCGCTTGCCCCATTTTGCCCATTTTCGAAGCCCTTTCTTTGCCAGCCTATTCCATCACCGCACCGTTTATCTCTCGAGCTGGACTCACTGGCCTGCTGTCCCTCTTAAAGAAACCGACATGCTGTCGGTGAGCGACATACTCACTATCAGCATAGCCAAGAATCTTCTCAATCTCGACGCTCTGCTTACCCTTGATTCGCGCGATCTCAGCGGCGGCATAGTTGACCAGAGCTCGGCCGACTTCTTCAGGAGTGCCCTCCCACATTTTGCCATCAGGCCCAGGGGTTGATCGCCGCTTGACTGCTACGAGACGCACCACCTCCTGTTGGGCAAAATTACCCTCGACATCAATGACGCCAACCGGAAGCAGACCGGCCTTGCCAACAAGAGCCTTATAAGCGCCTGAGTCGATGTAGAGGGTGCCGTGAGGGTGAGGAGTGTGAAGCAGCCAAAAGTGACGGTCCCTGATGGGATCGTTGGCGGGAATGAAGCGAGTGTGTAAGGGGGGCCAAGGGGCGCCATTTAAGTTGGAGAGCGTCAGAGCCGATGCCGATCGTGACAAGCCTTCAGCACGCTCGTCTGGACTGGGGGGAGTGTTCCCTTTTTGTATTGACTGTAGATAATGCACAATGTTGAGCACATTTCCAGGGTTAGAAGACCTCGTAATGACAGTCGTGACTCCAGCGGAAGTGCCCAGCCTAGCAGCAATAATCTTGGTGCTCATGCCTCCCGTTCCAAGGGACGAACCAGCGCTGGATACTGCCTTGAGAGTTAGTTTTCGGGGAGACAAGCCCGCGATTGAAGATAGACTTTACCGTCAGCCTGTAGTGCAGCGATGTCTTCGACCACCTCGATAGGCTTAGCATCTGGGTTGGTCCTGGGATTCTTGTCATAGAGACAATCAACATCCGTCATCAAGAACAGCATATCAGCGTGTATCATAGCGGCAGTGATGGCAGAGAGAGTATCATTGTCGCCAAACTTGATTTCGGAAACGGCAAGAGTGTCGTTTTCGTTAACAATGGGAATTACACCTTGTTCCAAAAGGGCATGGAAGGTGTTTTGAGCGTTGAAGTATCTCGTTCGCTGCAACATGTATTTTTAGTTCACTGTTGAAGATTCAAGACGGAAGAGTTGTACACACGTCTGCAATGTCGTTTCGTGTAAGGAGGATCTGAGCAATTGGCTGCCTGAGGTGGGTGAACAGGCTATCCCAGAGACTCATGAGGCGGCATTGGCCGATCGCTGCAAGAGCCTGTAGATGCTAACGTTAGTCACTTGATTATAGATGACCAACAGAGACGTTCGGTTCCAACCTGTAGCTGCGCGAGATGCTTAGGTCGCTTCTCCACGTCCATACGCCGGAGACCGACACCGATGGCGCCGGACGAAACAATGACCACCCTGTGGCCATCTTTGCGAAGCTTCACGGCCGTATCAACAATGAGAGTCAGAATCGGAAGAAGTGGTTCGTGAGTCTTCTCATCGACAATGGAGCTTGTTCCTGTGATGAAGGCCGAGTGTTAGTGGGGGATGAGTCAAGCTTGGTGTTGAGCCGTAAAGTAAACTCACCAAGCTTGATGACGATGGTCAGAGACTTTGTCCCGTTGCCTCTCATGACTGCGAGGTTGAAGAAAAAGGGAAACAAGTCAGTTTAATGCCGCTTTTGGGGTATGATGCAACGCCTGAAGGAAAGACTGGCACTTTCACATGGGTGTCTCCATACACTACACATGTGAAGAGGTGCATATATACACGGTAAGGTAGGGAGGTAATATATATATATGGGAACAAGTTCAACGAGACAGACAGACTTGCTTGACTCTTCTGCCACAACACAAATCAAAGAAAGACGGGTTGAGAGAAATGCTTACATTGAAACATGCTTTCACTCGTCATTTTTCTCATGCGCCCTTGTCGCTCTCTCTGAAGGTGGAACCGAGGGTTGAACAGGATAGGTAGAATAGGATGGTATGAGATGGGATGTGAGTGGGAGTGTCAGGATGTTTGGAGCTGGAGCTGGGCAAACGTTGGGCGATAGTCGAATTGATTGGACTGTGCTCCTGCGCCCTTGCTGAAGAGTTCCCCAGACCCCGATGTCGCCCGGGAAAACAGCACGAATAGGGTCCCTTGTTCGGAAAACTGGTCCAATCAGCCTCTTGACCGCCTGGCCGAATCGGGCCATCGGGTGCGTGGCAGAATAGACACTTGCGGTACAGGCTCCTCCAAGGGGAGCGAGGCTATAGAGGTTACCTACTAATTGAGTGAGGTAAGCTAAGGAAGCCAACTAAATTAAAGCCTCCACTGCCTTGGGAGAAGAAGCCCAGGTCAAGAGAGAACGATCACCTTGAGATTCTGAGTCTTACGCCGAATACCGAATTCACTCGCCGAAGCCACAACAACCTAATTTGGACTCAATTGGCATTTGGAATTACATACACGCGCCTTTGCAGAATGTCATCTGACTCTACACCTCCTCCAGGTGTCCCCGCTGGAACGCCAAGTGCTTCAAGTGCAGAAATCAAGAACGACCCTGCAAAAACAGGGTTTTCTCCAGAGATCTCATGGTGGATGAACTACTTCAAAATGCTCTCGGGCCAAATGACACCCGAGGGCAAATTCTTCTTCCGAGAGTACACAACCGAAATCGAGGAAGAAAAAGACTGCAAAGCTTGTGAGAGAGACCGCGACTGGCTCTTTACCTATTCGCCCGTCGTTCGCTTCATGTCCGACAAGATTCAGGCTCTCAATGGACGAATAGACCCTTCCAATGTTCACTGCCGTCGCTGTCCCTCCTCTCTGAGGGCTGATGGCTCTGTCAACTGGCAATCTGGTGGTTTCAGCCCCAATCATGGCATCCTCATATGTGCCAACCACATCAAGAACCGAAAGCATCTCGAGGATACGCTTGCGCATGAGATGGTGCATGCCTGGGACTATGTTCGGTGGAAGAATGTCGACTTCATGGGTCAAAAGGACTTGAAGCACGCCGCGTGCACAGAGGTGGGTTAAGGAAGCAAGCCAATTAATTTCCTTACAAACAAGGATGCTAACTCATATCAAGATCCGAGCTTCAATGCTCAGTGGCGAGTGCAGGTGGACAAAAGAGGCCTTTGTTAGAGGGAATTGGAGACTGACGCAGCAATTCCAAAATTGCGTCCGCAGACGAGCCATCGATTCCGTCACGGCCAGATCCACGTGCAAGGACGACGTTCATGCAACCAAGGTTGTCAACCAAGTTTGGGATTCTTGCTTTGCAGACACGCGGCCATTCGATGAGGTTTATCGATGATTGCTAGCAGTCTGCCCTCCATACGAAAATGTGTACGATATCCAAGACAGGCGAGA